CCTGCCCCTGGCTACCCGCCCCCCCCACCCACGTACAACCCCAATTTCCCACCACCGCCCCCCCGCATGCCACCCACCCATGCAGTGCCCCCTCACCCTCCTCCAGGCTTGGGCCTGCCACCTGCTAGCTACCCGCCTCCAGCTGTGCCCCCTGGAGGGCAGCCGCCTGTGCCCCCGCCCATTCCGCCACCTGGCATGCCTCCAGTCGGGGGGCTGGGGCGGGCAGCCTGGATGAGGTAACCTGGCGCCCTTCTTTCTTCGTTTTTTAAAGAAAAGTTTTTCTAATTAACTTGAAAAGTAGTTTAAGTGGGTAAGCTGCAGAGTACCTTGTATAATGCTAGACAGTTGTAGTATGGGAAGAAATGGACCGGACCCCCGAGATGAAATTGGGGTGGTCCTCCACATCTGGGGAGTGGGGACAGCAGCTCCCAGTGGAGCCCAGGCAGAGCCGGTTGTGACCCGACTGTGCGTTTGGTCTCAACCGACGTCGTCCACGAGTCCTGCGCTGAGTTACTTTACACTAGTGAGAATGTTAACCAGCCATATTGGCTCAATAAATAGCTTCAGTAAGGAGTGAATTTCCTTCTAGAAATCAGTGCCTATTTTTCCTGGAAACTCCATTTTAAATAGTCCGGTTCCATCTGAAGTCAAACTGTTGTCATTGCTGTCATTCCATGATGTTCTCTCCCATGACACCTGTAGGTCAACTGAACCACTTTTTTGATTTAGAGATACTTACATCCTTTGCGTTAAAGTTATTTTGAAGGGGTTGACTTGCTGGATGGCTCTATTCTTTTTCCTCCAGGAAGAAGGGGAGAAGTGTACTTGGGAGTAATGTATGTTTACATCAATTTGCAAATTCCTGTACCTAGAGATATATTTTTTAAGTGTGAATGTAACAGCATACTGTGAATTCCATCTTGGTTACAAATGAGACTCCTTCAGTCAGTTACCCAAATAAAATCAGTTCTGAAATGACGCCTTTGTTTGTTACGGGCACGAGGTGGGGCTCCAAGCCTTAGCAGCCCCTGGGTTTGCAGCCCAGAAGCAGATCGCCTCCTTCCGGACCCTGGGGGCCAAGCAGCAGGCAGTGGAGGAACGCTGCCCAGGAGGCCTGGCCACCGGCCAGGCCCAGGCCCCTCCCCGGGCAGTACCCTCATGGGACAGCCTCCCACGTCCAGCGCCTGCATGGGCTTTCTTGGGAGGAAGCAGTTGAGTTTCACGCTGGTTTGGACTGTCAGTGTCCCTCCAATAGACAGGTTCCTGGGTTAGACCAGAGTTTGGATTTGAAATGCTTTGCACTTCTGGCCTATGACTAGATACAGGCCATGGAGCAGCAGTCAGCGGCCCCCGCCATCCACCCTGAGGGGCCCCATCACCCAAAACAAATGAGCACTGCGTACCCACCGCGGAGGCTTGCAAAGAGCCTTTATTTATCTAGCGCAAAGTATACACTATCACAATCTTCTCTGTTACTCCTTTTACTAAAATAGTTCAAATCAATGTTTTTACCACACTATCAAAAAGTTCTAATTTTTTTTCTCTTCCCAAATCAAAGTGGTTCAATAGAAGGTAGAAACGGGCACAGGAGTCCAGGGCTCCAGCTCTGCCCAGAGCCGGGGAGGGGGCAACCCCAGTACTCAGGCGGTCACATCCGACAGAAGGTAGATAGAGCGCGGCTGCTGCCGGCCTGGGGCCAGGGGCCAGGCGGTCCGCCCATTCCCAGAGAGCAGCACAAGTACTCCCCCACGTTATGAAAAATATACACCTCCCCCGCTCTGCACTCATGCATTTCCTTTGTTTCTTAAAAAAAAAACAAAAGTCAGTAGTATGTATTGTTTCCTCTCAAGTTTTCAAGAAAAAAAAAAAGGTCACTTTTTTCTCTTTAAACAACACTGATGTGTGGCTAATAACTTTTGGATAAAAATGTGCTCGGTGGATTCCGACTCCAGGATGGGCTTGGCCACCTGGGATGAGGCTGGAAGGGTGACATCCATCACAGTGGGAAAGGAAGCCACGGCACAGGTGTCACACGGGGCTTCGGGCGCTAGAATCAGAGTGTTTATGAAAGGACACCAGGTTCAGCAACACCCCACCACGAGCTCTCAGAGCTGAGGCTCCAGATGGGAGGGTCGCCGGTGTCACCCTCTGCACACTCCCTGCTAGTGGCAGAGCAGGGACTCACCCCGAGCTGGCCCCCGGGGACCCTCCTCCCAGCTGTGGGCTCCCGCTGCAGCTGGGCCCCAGGCCGGCGTGGGGCGCGCAGAGGCGCTGCAGGCTTTTCGACAGCTTACGTTAAAAGAGATGCCCTCACAGGTATGGTTCTGTCCTCAAAAGCCATTCCCATACAGTGCTGGCTCCGGGACACAGGCAGGGGCAGGAAGGAGACGTCGGCACCGGCTGGTGCTGCCTCCATGGCGGGCGGGAGGCTGCTTCTGGAGGGAACGCCTGACCCACTCCCCAGACGCCACCGCAGCACTAGGGGACAGGGTCACCTCCCTCTGGCAGGGAAAGGTCCCTTGGAGGCTGTTCTTCCCTGGGTCAGTTTGCAGGAGACCTGCAGTCACCAGGACACCTGACTTATTGCTTATTTTCAGTGGTGGCCAAGCCAGCCTGACCCAGACGTGACACACGGGTTGTCAGATGTGGCTCCCACCCAAGAGACCCAGACCCCCCTCGAGCTGCTCCATGGTTCTTTGGACTCCAAGACCCAGGAGGGGGCCTCTGCCCTCCAGCTGACTGCCCACCCGGGCAGAAGTCACCCAGAACATGACCAAGGATGTTCACCCAGCTCCAAGTGCACACCCCTAGTGACAGGGAACTCACCACATGACCTAGGGACCAGCTCCTTCCAGAGAGCCCATAGCTTCCTGTAAAACACCCAGGGCAAGAGGACCGTGCCCGACGCCGTCACCGGCACCCGTTCAGCACTCCTCGGGCACAGTGAGGGCCGCGGGCCTCTCCCCCGAGTGTCGACCCAAGGGTGCCGATGGCAGACAGGCGGTGGGGACGGCTCAGAGTCCCCGCTGGGGAAAGGGACGGGGCAGCCTCGTCCGTCCCCTCACCTGGTCCCCATCCCTCGCGTGAGCCTCGGACGAGGCCTGTCCGATGCCAAGCCAGCCTCTCGGGCTCTTCGCTCGCCCGCGCACAGAGCTCTAATGACCGCTGGAGTCCAGTGATGGGGGAGGAACTGCAGATGGCGGGTGGACGGGGGCTGGTTACAACAGCGGCCTGTCCCCGCCCTCCAGGCTCTGGGATCTCGTTTGTGACACGCCACTGATCACTTACCCCCTCGGGGCCTCACTGCCCTGGCACACAAACTTTAAAATTTACATGTCTCGCTTTACAGTTTATACACGATCCTTTTACACTGAAGGTCTTATCTGATCCCCAGAGCCCTGCAAGGAGGGCCTTAGGCTGCCCACTCTGCAGGGGAGGACGCTGAGGCTCAGGAAGGAAGGTGACCGTCCACCGAGAGGAGAGGCAGCAAGGCAGGGGAACTCAGCTGGGGCCTCCGCCCCTCCCAGCCCACCCACCAGCCGCCTCTCCAGCAGGAGGACCCCGTTGGCTTGCGTGCTGTGAGTGAGGACACAGGCTGACTAGAGCTGATGGCCTCGAACCTCTGAGCCCTCCTTTCCCGACCAGGGGCCCAGAGAGGCTGAGTGACTTGCTGAGGGTCACACAGGAAAATGAAAACCAGAGCCAAGCAGGGCTCCTCCCAAGGAGGGCAGAACTCCTTCACCTATGGTCACACGACTCCGTCCACAGTGATCCAAGAGGGGGCCAAGCTCTGGGGGCAACCGTTCCTGAGCAGAGGCCCGGCCACGGCCCAGTGCCACCCATGCGGAGAGAGAGGCCCAGCCCAGAGACTCCACACAGCCCATGATGCGAAGCACAGAAATGGAGGCGCCTCAGGCCCTGGGCAGGAGGGACCCCAAAGGATAGGGCACAGCCTAGGACAGGGTGAGGGGACACTGCAGAGTGTGTGGCCAGGGGTAGGGGTGTGAACTCTAAAAACAAGCAGAGCCGGCAGCGGGGAGGCTGGGCCCTGTGGCCAGAGGAAGGACCACGGGTGAGTTTCCTCGTCCACGACTCTGGGGACCCAGTGCTTATGGAGCCAGTGTTCAGGCCACAGCAGGCAGGTCAGAAGTGGTGCCCCGTGCATCAGTCCAGCTGCCAGCGGCCTCTGTCCAGCACAGGTGGCAGCCGGGGATGGAGGTCTTGATGAGGTGCCCCTCCACCAAGGCTGGGCACAGCCTGGCACGGTTCCTGGGCCGGACATCTCTGAGCAGCCTAAGCCTCTCGCCAGTGGACCCCAGAGCCCGGGCCCCAGAGCAGGAACGAGGTTGTCTAGGCCGCTCTGCTGCGCGGAATAGTCTTCCCGGTTTGCTGGTGTGTGAGAGGCGGGAAATGGAGTCGCAACCCCGGCAGCCAGGCCACAGCAGGCAGCGTCCTATGTACAATTCACCACAGAAAAAGAAGACAGTGGCTCGGCGCGAGGGCCTGCCCACGTCTGGGGACCCCAGGCAGGGCCAGTCCACGTCCACGGGGGAACGGCCCTACAAAGGCCCTTTGAACTGGTTTCCAGACAGGTGCTGCCGGATGGAGGGCTTGGAGCTGGCGGCATCTCCCAGTTTTCTCCAGACCACCTGTGGGGAGGGGCGAGCTGTGAGTGGAGGGCCCATCCCAAGCCTGCCCAGGGGCCTGTGCGCACAGACTGCCCCATCGCTCTTCAGAATCACCTGCGTCCCGAGAGCCATGGGGCCAGGAGGGGACACGGAGGCCGCGTGAGGCCCAGAGACCCTCAGAGTACCTCTTTGCACGTCCACCCTTCACAACCACACCTCCCACCCCGGGCAAGTCACATCTGGGGGCAGACTTGGCCTCACGGCTGTCCAGTGGGGCCTACAGACCCAGGAGGCGGCAGAGGAGGGGGATTCGGGACACCCCACCCCAAGCGAGGTCCAGCCCCGTGATCCACCTTCCCTGCTGGCTCCCTCACGAGTCCAAGGAGACCATGTGTATTGGCCAGGCGGGTCGGGGGATGATGCTCTGCCTCCCCAAAGACCCAGAGAAGCCCAGCTTCCAAAAGCCAAGGCAGCTAGCTCCAGGGTGGGGCATCCCGCAGAACGGAGCATTCCACCTGCACCCCCGTGAACAGCACCTGTGCGCTGGCAGCCAGCAGGGGCACCAGCATGCTGGGAGGCTGGGAGCCACACAGACATCAGGGGACAGGGGCCAAGGGTCAGGATAAATGGGGGGAGCAAGACCAGAGATCAGGGACCCTGTTCTTGGGGAGGGAAGGGGGGAGAGAAAGGAGGGGAGGGGAGAGAAAGGGAGGGGGGCGGGCGGGGGAGGAAGTCAAGCGGACAAAGAGAGGCCGGGGCTCCCGAAGCCCCGGCACCTGCTCCCAGCCCCCCAGGTCACCCCCGGCCCGGGCCCCAGGAGGCTCACGTTGCACATCTCTCGGACGATGGCCTTCTCCTTCTCACTCAGGTCCTCCTCACAGCTGTCCTGGAGCTGCCGCTCCAGGTTCTCATGTACCTCCAGGACCTGCAGGGGACAGGGACCAGGGTCAGGGGCGGAAGCCACCGGGCAGGCCTCAGGCAGGTCGCCCTGAGCCCCGGCTGCAAACGGGAGCCGTGGGGTCCCGGGACGGAGGGGTGGTGTGCAGGGAACAGGGGCATGGAGAGGCCTAAGGGCCAGGTGGTCCTTCCCCGCTTCGCGTCCTCTCCTCGCGGTACAGCGACACCGAGGGCACCGCACGAGGGGAGCAGCACCCCGTGTCAGCACCGGGGGCAGAGCTGAAGACAGGTCACGCGGGAGCAGGGAGGAGAGGTGGGGTGGGGACCCCTGGCACACGGCGGGGACTCACTCCGAGCCCAGACCCCCACCTGGGCCTCAGGGCGGCCCGGCTCACGCACGTCAGGGGTGTGTCCCGGTCACCGCCCGCACAGGCGCGAGTGTGCCGTGTCTGTGCAGCCGTACCGGGCCTCACACCCGGGGGACCGTGCGCTGCGTCCGCGGCGCGCATACACGTGAAGGGATGGGGATGCCGTGGTGGGAGACGCACCGCAGGGCGCACCCGGAGGCCCTGAGCAGGGCGCAGGAGGACAGTGGGCCTGGGAGACCTGAGCCTCGCCCCCCAACCCCCATCCCAGACCCTGGGGAGTGCCAGCCCTCCCCCCACCTCCCCCAGGCCTCAGCTTCCTTGGCCGCTACCCAGCACCCCGCGGAATGCCCCCACCACGGTGCTCCAGGCAGCCACGGCCACCCAGAGACCAAAGTCCCTGCCCTGCCGCTCAGCTGCCCCCAGGCTCAGAGAGGGCAAACGTGGGGTCCAAGGTCACAGGCTCCTGAAGTGCAGCAGGATCCGGGGGCCCCCGAGGGAGTGGCAGGGCCTGGCCCTCACCTTCATCGCGTGTACGACAGCCTCAGGCTTCTGTCCCGCAGAGCTGTAGCCGCCCGAGGGCGGCGGGGACAGCTCGGGAACCGTGCAGGCCGGGCCCTGTGGGAAGGAAGTGCATCTGAGCTCGCCCTGGCTGGCTCCCAGGTGGCAGCCACAGGTGTGCCAGCAGCTGGGAGAGGGCACTGCGTCTGCGGGGCCAGGGCCCAGGCGGGAGGAAATGGGGGTGGAGGTGACAGGGGAGAGGAGGCTGGGCGTGAGGCCGGGGAGCAGCATCGGGACTCCCCACACACATCCCGCAGGCTCCTCTAAACAGCCCACAGGGAAGGTCTGCTGTCTGTTTTGCCGGTCACCCGGGAAGATGCGAAGGACCTGGGCTCCAGCCCCGGGCAGCCTGCCTCCTAAGGCCCCTCTCCCTCCCCGGCCTCCACCCCCCAGGGCATTCCTGGGGCTTCCAGCCCTGACCCTCCCAGTTCTGTCCGGCCACCCAGGAACAGTGCCACCTCGTTCTGCCAACACCCTAATTGGGAACCATGTGCCCACCAGCCACATCAGCCTGAGGGGCGGGGAGGCAGGCCGGGAGAGGAAGGGATCCACTCCCTGGCCCTCTGCCCGCCCATGTCGGAAGCCGAGTGTCTGTCTGCCCGGCTTCTCCCCGGCTGGCCAGCTCCTTCTGGCCAGGTGTCCATGGGGCAGAAGGCAGGGCTTTTGGCTGGGGCTGCAGTGGGGACCCCGGCCCCAGAGCAAGGTCAAGAAGGGATCAGGGCCGCACAGAAGGAGCCCACGCACAAGGAGGCCGGTGGAACCCCGGGGCGGCAGGAGCCGGGAGGTCAGGAGACGCTGGGAGGGGACCTGAGGGGAACCGGCAGATGCTGGAAGGCAGAGATTAAACACCAAGAACACCCCAGGGAGTGCGTGAAGGGGAGGAGACCCTGGCGTCCCTGGGCACCCCTCCTGTCTCTGAGTCTTGGTTTCCTTCTCCGTCGGTGGCCCCCGATGACCCCTCCAGAGACCAGGCCAACTCAGTGAGCTCAGCTGATGAGGCCATCGCCCTGGGACCCTGCCCAGCCAGGCCACGCTGTGCGGGGACCCTCGGGGCCTGGAATCTTCCACCACCAGCAGCCACCCTCTGCCTTCTCCCCACCTGCCTGCGTGGCCCGGACCTGCTCCCAGGGCCTCGCAGGCTCGCCCTGCTCTTGGCTCCAGGCAGAGGCCAGACCCCACAGCCTTGATGTCTGGCAGAGCTGGGCCTTGGCAGGGTTCTCCAGGCAGGCCCGACCCACTCTGCACCTCTGTTTCCTTGTCTGCACGACCGCTAGGGTCCCTGTGTCCCAGGCTGTAAGGAGAGCCTGGGATGCTGTTTCCCTAACTCTGGCCCAGGCTGCCCGGTCTCTGGTTCCCGGACGGGTGTGTCATGCGGGGGAAACCAAAGCGGCTTCTGGGAGACTGATGGGGGGCGGGTCACACACACATAGGTGCGCACCCTGAGGCAGAAGGCTGCCCTCCCCACTAAAGGCCAGCAGGGGGCGAGCGCACACAAGTACAGCCCAGGAAGGCGCCCGGCCCTGGGCTCCTCTGGCTTCAGGTCCTGTCTGCGCCTGGGGCTCCCTGACCGCCCCGCACTGTAAGGGGGCCAATTCTGAAGCAAAGACCAGGAGTGGCCAGAACAGGCCGTGCAATCCAACCTCTTCCTGGGCCACCCCACCAAGAGGACGGCAGGTGCTAATGAGAGCATAGCCGCGGCTTCCTGCAACTGAAGCCACCACCGGACAGCGGTCAGGACTGCGAACTTTAGAGCATTTCCCAAACCCAGCTCACCCCTGCAGGCCTGCCATGGTGGGAGGACCACAGCCTGGAAAGCCCGGTGATGCCTCCCCCCGACTTCCTAAGAGCCTACTCGGAGCAGAGCAGCCCACGGAGTGCCGATTGCAACCCTCTGCACAGACGCTGTCTTTCTGTGCTCCCACTTTACAGATGAGTAAGGGGAGGCTGCACGACTTGCCAAGGCCACAGAGCTAGTAAAACCAGGGGGCCGAGCCTCCACCCCGGGTCTGTGGGACTCCAGCGCTGGAGCCAAAAGCGGGGAGGTGCTCCCAAGAGCACTGAACACAGGCGTCCACACACGTGCCCGTGCAGGGGTGTTCAGAGAAGCACGAATCACAACAGGCAGAAGATGGAAACAAACCAATGCACAGCAACTGATGAACGACACACAAGATGTGGGGTACCCACACAACTGTTGGACATACAATTCTGTCCAAATTTATGTGGACAATAAAATTTGACAATAAAAAGCAATGAAGGTCTGACACATGCTACAATGTGGGTGAATCTCAGAAACGCGGTGCTAAGTGAAAGAAGCCAGTCACAGAGAATGGCATATTTTATGATTCCGGTTTATATGAAATATCCAGAAAAGGCAAATGTGGAGAGGCAGAAAGTAGATTAGTGGTTGCCAAGGGGCTGGGGGCGGGGGGTTGTGGGGAGGGATTGCTAAGGAGCACGGGGTTTCTTTCCAGGGTGATGAAAATGTTCTGCTGTGATGACTGCACAAATCTGTGAAGATTCCAAAATCCACTGAAATGGACACTTAAAAATAGTCAACTGACCAAAAAAAAGTAGGGAAGCCAGTTTACCAGAGGGAGCTGTCAAAAGCCTCCTCCTCTCAGACCCTGATGGGTACAACCTCTGTTGCTCACTCCACTGACAGGCAGTGGGTGGGAGAAGTGGGTAGGGATGGGGTCGGGGAGGGTGGGGATATCCAGCCAGGCAGGGAGGAGGTGTCCCTACCCCACAGGGTCACCTGCTTCACCCCGGGATTCTCTGACATGTGGACATGCAGGTAGCCTTACAGAAGATGTGCCCACACCTAGCTGTGGAAGAGACGAGGCCCCCAGCAGCATCAGAGCACAGGGGGTCCCCCCATACAAACCTCCTCTCCCTGTGGACCCACGGGCCCTCCAGGGCCCAGCAAGGGATCAGCGCCCTATAAACACCCCAAGGGGCCTGGCCTCTGAGGTTTCACCTCAGCTCCGGCCCCTCTACTGCCTCCTCAGCAGCCTTTGTGGCTGCCCCTCCCACAAGACACCATCACCCTCTCCGTCTGCCCCGGGAACCTACCCGCAGCCTCGTGCTGCACGCTGGCCCCTGGCTCCAAGCCCAGCTTGGCCTGGTGCTGGCACGCACTAGCCATGCGACCCTGGAAACCGTCCCATCCCACCCCACCCCACCCCACCCGGTGGGCCTCAGCTTCCTTCCCTCCAAAGTGGATGAAAACCCATGGCATGCAGGCAGCCTAAAGAAGGCACAGGGAGCCCCTCCTAAGGCCTCCTCCAGGAAGCCTTCCGGAAGACTCATGCCCTCCGCTAGCACTGCCGAGGCCTCAGGGGCTCAGCCTCGGGGAGTGAGCTCCCTCTGCTCCCATCTGCACGTCCTAGGAGCCAGCCAGGCTTGCACAGCACTTTACAGTTTGCAGCTCACCAAGAAGGCTTCAATGCCCAGTCCCGTTAGCTGTTAGGATTCCCAGAGTCAATCAGAATGAACAGGGCAGAGGGTATGAAGGGCTGGGGGAGCCACTCCTGTGGGGGCAATGCAATGCTGGGCTTTTCAGAGCCCTTCATCATGGAGCCTCATCCAGCCACGGGGCTCCTGGATAAATATTTGGATTATCTGTCATCAGCAGGCTTTGCTGCCTGCACAGCGTCAGCAGCTACATTCCTGGAGAAGGTGCGAGGGCCTCAGAAGAGAAACAGCAGAGCGCTCGGCCAGCAGCCAGCGGCAGCATCAGCCTGCTCCTGCCGGTGCAGAGGCCCAGGGAGGAACCCTGGGGCTGCCCTTGCTGGCTGGCATGGAAGGGAGACAGCTGGGCTGGGACCCTGGGGGAGAGTCCAGGCCCACCTTGCAAGTGATCTCAGGCCAGCTCGGTTTCTCATCTGTTCCGTGGGGACTTCTCACCAAGTCCCTGCCTTGCTGCAGGGCTTCTGTGTGTGGAGAGCGCCCAGCACGGCCCTGCACGTAGCAGATGCTCAATAAAACATCTACAGAGCTCACGCGAACGCGTGCTTCTTGGGAGGTAGGTTTTGCACATTCACAGATTTGTGCAGTCATCCAACAGAACGTTTCCATCACCTCCTCCCGCCTCCTGCCAGCCCCTGGCAACCACTAATGTACTTTCTGCTTCTGTAGATCTACGTATTCTGAATACAAGAATACATCCCTCGGTCACAGAGGGATGACGGGCACATTCACCCGCAGGGAGCAGTGCTGAGCCGGGCATGCACATCCCAGGGAGCTGGCCGCACGCTGCCCTCCCTGTCCCACCCAGGGCAGGTCAGAGCCCAGGCGAGAAGCCAGGATCACCTTGGAGGCGCCCTGGTGATAACAGAAGCCCACGGTCATAAACTTGAGCTCCTCCCCCACCTCCGTTATAAAGTCTGGGGTAGTCGCCCTCACGTACACACAGGGCAGCCACTCCCTGCTGTGTCTGAGGAGTGACAGAGGCGGACGAGTCGCACAGAGAGACGGCGGCTGGGCCTCGTGGCCTCTGCCCCAGCCTGCACGGCTGCCAACGGTATCCCAAGTTGGGCCTCCACCTCTCACCACCACGCCGGGCCCTTACAAGGTTCTAAGGGTCGAGGGTGGAGGGGCAAGGGTCGGGAGCCCAGGCGCCGTCCTGGGAGGGCGGAGGAATGAAGAAGCCCACTCTGGACCTGAGCTCAAGCCTTGCCCTGGAAGCAGCTCGGGCAGAAGCTGAGGATCCCAATCCCAGCTCAGCCGTGGACCATCCTCGTGCCCTGGGCAGGTCACCAGCCGGTCTAAGCCTCACCCCTCCACTTCCGGAGGTGGGCGGTCCACATGGGAACAGTGGGGCTCTTGGAGGAGGGACACTTACATTCTGCAGGGCATCCTGGTAGGAGGGCGGCAGGCTGCAGAGCTGGGACTCCGAGTGGTACGGAGAGAAGCCTTTCCGCAGTGTCCGGAACTCTCCGGAGCCTGCCTGCTGCATGAGAGAGAAGGGGAGAGGGGTTAGACGTGAGGGGCGAGGGGCTGGGCTGAGGGGGCCAAGGATGCTCCCATCAGGTCCTCGGACCGCTGGGCTCCCTCCGTGGGTTCCCTCTGCTCTGTTCCTCACACCTGCCTGGAGGCCCGGCCTGTGCACCCTCCCTCCGCACCGCCCCCCATTTTATCTGTCCTCACTGCCACTGTCATCAGTAGCAGTTGACATCCATCTCCCCGTTCAAGTGTCAGAGCCACGAGGCCAGGGGCTTCATTTTGCTCCCTGCTGTGTATTTTATAAACGTTTGTTGAATGGCTGAATAAGCAGGTGAGTGAATGGGGGCGTGGCTCGCCCCGCCGACCCCGCCCGCCCTGTTCCTCTGCTCCAGCATCCTGCACTCGGGGCCTGGAGGACGGCCTCTGCAGCCCCTGGGGCCCACGTCCTCGGGGAAGTCCTCCCGCCTCCACCGGGCCGG